GGGGGGGGGGGGGGGGGGGGGGGGGGGGGGGGGCTGATAACACAAGGCTCTCATTGATGCACACACTCCCAATGCGCACACACAATCAGACACACACAGATCAGGTGGTGTTTCAGCGCTTTGGTTTGGAGCCCGGCAGATACCTGACCTGAGCTTTTAACACGGGCGTGCGCACAAAAAGCACGGACACACACCTTCGGACGCACGCACACAAGAGCGCTTTCACCGTCAGCCAACACGCCGGTGACCTCTCCGCTTTTACATGATCATTTTTGGCATGACTTCAATGGGGCGCAGGTGAGAAGTGCACTGGCAAAACTGAAACCTCATGCACGGCCTGTTGACACAGTCAAAGCTAAAGGAAGGCAGAGTGGCTCCTTGGATTGTATTGACCACTGTGAGCTGGAGAACCAAGCCGTCTGACTGACAGCCGCTGCGTATAAGAAGCCACAGTTTGTAAAAGGCTAACATGCAGGCCAAGTAGAGATGCCATTTTCTTTTTAGACACAAATCTCTTTCATTTGACATTACGATTTATTTATTCCTGGCAGGTTTTGGCCCCCGCCCAGGCTTGTTATGCTGCTAAAAAATCTCTTGTGGAGCGATAGGTTACTGAGGTCGCTTGAGGAGCAGATCTGATTTTCTTTCCTACATAAACCCAAACATTTTCAGCCAGATTCTCAGGCCTGCCGTCACTTTGATTCCCCTCTGATATACTGATACATTCACCATCAGAACCAGTGACCTGAAAATGATAACATTAATCAGGAGAGTGTTTTATTTCTTCCACAATTTCTTGGTTGATGAATTAGCCTCACATCCAGCCAGATTTTCTTTTTCCCCCTTTTAACCTACTGTCCTCTACACCATCAGAGACCATACTTGTTCATTATAAACCTCTTGATTTTTTTGCACATGAGCAGACTCATTTAAATGTAGCAATAAGATTGATGCACACACTGTGATGAAATATAGTTCAAACGGAGGAGGTAAATTGAACATTTCTACATCAGGCGCCTTCAAACTGGAACCAAAACAACAACTGACTGCGATGGGTAAGGTCCATTAACACAGTTCACAGTAAACGCCTTAAAAACAAAAAGAACTATCAAATAAATCCAGGTTGCTTCACTTCACAACAATAATTTATCAGGATAACTCTGTTTCAGACCTATGCTGGCATGGGTGTGGGGAGGTAGGCACCCTGGCCCACTCCCTTTTGTTCTGTCCTGCTGTCAAGGCCCTCTGGGATGCAGTCAAAGCCACAGTGTCCCAAATTTCAAATACTGAACTGACCCTTTCTCCAGCTACATGCCTGTTAGGTGTTCAACCGATTGGCATTAACTCTTCAATTGCACAAAAAATTGTCTCACTCGCATGTCTTGCAACTAAACGTATAATACTCATGAATTGGAAAGTTAGAAACCCTGACTGTTTTAACATCCTGAAATGGCTGGATGAATTTTTAAATCTTGTAAGCATGGAAAAGGCTGCTTCGGCATTGTTGGACCTTCACAGGAGGGAGGACGGCTTATAGGACATAATTAGAAACTTTATGACAGCACAGCACCTTGCCCCCATCCCAGCATAATGTGGTCCCATTGAATCAAGGCCTTTTGCCCACTATGACTGTTAACAGGGCTTTTTGTTGATGTTCCTAGTGATTGACTGTTATCCAGGTGACTCCTTGTAATGTCTGCACCTAAGTTCCATCCATATTGTCTCCCTCTACTCCATACGTCTCCCTCAGGAAATATCATGTGTGTAAGGTCAAGACTTTTACAGTGCTTGCACACACTGCTAACTCAGTGTTACCTACTTATTGTTTTGTACTGCCCCCCCCCCCCCCCCCCCCCCCGACTTTGTTTTGTTTATGTAATACTGTCCTAGTGTTGCAATGTTTTGTACTGCACTGTCCTTCGTCTGTTTGTATATTGTGTAACCCCTAATAAAATCTAAATATAAAAAAAAAAAAAGAAATGATGTCCTTGTGTTACCTTTTGCACTATAACCTACTTCTGTTAAATTGGCAATAATAAGAAGAACTCTGGTACTGTGAACATACATGTGAATGTCTGAATTCATATAGACTTTGCATGATTATTTTATTTCGCAGAGGTTTACTGCCTTTTTGCACATCATATTTTTGATTTATTTTGTGTTCAAATTGTTCATATGCTGCTTGTTCCATACAATTTCTGATAATAAAAGTATTTGAAAATAGTAAAATGTTCTTCCTTCAAGTTATATCTTTGTAACGAGTGTTTGAACTATATTTAAGCCATCAAAAGCAGGTATTTCGGGGGGTTTTAAATTGAAAAACCTAAAAATTTAATCTGCCGATATATCGGTTATCGGATTTTTTTATTCCATAATATCGGAATCGGCATCGGCCCCAAAAAATCCACATCGGTCGGGCCCTAATTATTATTGTAGATTTAGTTATCCAGCAGTGTATTAGATCATCAATATTAGTTCCATCTTTACTAGCATGAATCAACCAAATGTTACTTTTGGTATTTTACTCATACGTCTGTAGTTTCACTTATGTTAGATTTTGAACACAGGACTTCTGCTTTTAACAGTATGTTTACATTGTGGTATGGCTACTTTTTCTTAAGTTGAAAACCAAAATGTGCGGAAAAAACTCAGCACACCCAAAAACAACAGTGCCAATGCTGCCATCAGGCTTTTGCTGGCATGTTGCCTCCAGGCCTTACAACATTTTTTGGGGGAAATCCTGTGTAGCAGTCAGTCCTACACTGATTCATATCACACAACCACCCATAATGAAAATAGTGTGATGTATCCGGCATGCATCGCGCATGATTCATCTGTGTCTTGAATTATGAAATCAAAATTGATAAATTGTGCAAGCCTGTGTCAGCCTGCACTCTAGTGCACTAATGAACAAATTATTCCAAATTGACTTTATCAGCTCAAACCAGCTGCTACATGATGTGCCACACATCAATACCTGCTGTTATGATATAATTACTATTATATCTACTACTACTATTTATTATACTTTTTTTCTACTGTTATTAGGAGAAAACAAACTTCTTTAGGTCACAAGATAATTAACCTGTAATGAGGAAAACAGCTTTGTTATTCCACGACAATAGGACTGACATTGGCAGACTTGACATTGAAATAACAGGATTAAAAAGTAACTGCAACCAGGGCACCTCCCACCATGTCCTGCCAGCAAAATAACAAATAACTAATACAAAGCTGTGATACCCGGTCTGGCTTGGATGAGTTTCTCAACCCCACAAAACAATTTACCGGTCATGGTGCAAATCCCGACCAGCAAGTTGATATTTCTGTCTCCAAGCAGCACCACTTCAGTCTTGCCTCCATGGCTTTTCCTCGCAGCCTTCTTGGACTTTTTGGCAGCCCACACCCCTGTCCCCAAAATCAGGACTTAGAACAGCGCCACTGCAATCACACCGGGGATGTTAAGAGCCATGGTGGTCAACCACTATGGAGCACAGTGATAAGCAGATGGACTGACTGGATAATAAATTCAGATACTGTGCATGGGCCAAGAGTGAGAAAGAACAAAGGTCACACTTTTGGAGGCATTCCTGAGTTCAACTAAGGTGGCTATATTGTTGGTGCGGTGATTTAAAGTTCAGCTAGGCAAGCAAAGAGACAAAGTTCACTTGTCCAAAACCAAGATTTATTTCTCATTGGTTAGCGAACATGATGTAAACTCTCAATTCCCGGAAGTCCCAGCCTTTGGAAGAATCCCCTTACATAAAGTCATGGCAACACACAACTCTCTCTTGGCAATTTCACAATTGTGTGTTTGTTTTTCTTTTTTTTCTCATGTTCACTGCTTCACTTCTGTTTATTAAGCTAGTTGAAAAAGAATTTGTCCTCTCACGTTTTTTCAGCTGTTTTTTTAGGTCATTTTCTTTCAATAAAAACTATTGCTTTTATTGATTCTAATATACAGTTACTATTACCACTGACCTTTACATCACCCACATCTGAACTTGTCCTTTCTTTGCCTCTATTTGACTATATACTAGACTAAAACTTGCTGCAGTCACCCTGATACTCACATAATCTTGACTTGATCCTGACTCCCCCAGTAACTACCAGCCCATTTCCAACCTGTCCTTCCGGTCAAAAGTTCTGGAGAGAATTGTTGCTGCTTAGCTTAAATCCCACCTTGAATCCAGTAACCTCTATGAGCCTTTTCAGCCTGGTTTCCATGCTAAACACAGCACTGAGACTGCCCTGATTAAAGTCACCAATGATCTGCTGTAATCCTCAGACTGTGGTTTCATCACCATCCACATCCTTCTCAACCTCAGTACTGCTTTTGATACCATTAACTATTCCACAGTCATCACACAACTCAAATCCATCCTTGGCATTACTGTCACTGCCCTCTCCTGATTCCAGTCCTTTCTCTCTGACAGACATCAGTTAATCTCTTCATCAACAAGTCTCTGTCACCCATGGTGTCCCCAAAGGTTCACCTGCCTGCCTCATGCCAACCACATCACCAAAACAGCCTTCTTTCAAATCCGTAACATTGCCTGCCTCCGACCCTCTCTGTCACCCTCTGCTGCTGAAACACTCATCCATGCACTTGTAACACTCAGGCTCGACAAACACTGTCCTCACTTAACTTCAGTATGTACAGAATTCTGCAGCCTGCCTACTTACCAGAACCCGCTCATGTGACAACAACACCCCAGCCCTCCACCTCCTCCACTTGCTGCCAGTTAAACACAAGATAAACTTTAAGATTCTACTTATCACTTTTAAAGCCCTTAACAATCTAGCTCCTCCATATCTCTCAGCCAGCTTCAAACATTGTACCTTATTGAAATTAGGCGTGATTATGATAGCTGATGTTGTTTATGACAGAAACACCATAAAATATCACCAAATAAAGCCATATGAAACATGAAAGTTGTGATCCCACTTTCTAGGTGGTATATCTCAGCCAAAAATAGTGGTAGGAGTGAGACTCTTACCTTTTATAAACCAGCTACGTGTCCGCTAACAGATCCGCATGGAGAGGGTAACGGCTGCTGCCTGCGGGAAGGCGGAGCTGGATGTCTAGCCCCGCTCACAAAGGTCCAGCCCCGTCCAACAATCCCAAATACTCCACCTCTTCCCATCTTCCCTCTCAGCAAAAAGACCAAGCGGGAAAGTCATGTCGGTAAGTAAAATTACGTTGCTACAATAAATGGAATAAATGAAAAGCTTTATTCACATCTCATGGCGCTTTTGTTGCTGTATATTGTTGTTGTATAACTTTAGGGTATCTTGGTAGGTTAATGGTCAACATTTAGCTTGTGTGGTAACATCATCCTACGCGACGTTAGCGTCAGCGTTGTTAGCATGAGCATTAGCGTTAGCGTTGTTATAACTCTAATTTAGCTGTGTGTGTGTGTGTGTGTGTGTGTGTGTGTATGTGTGTGTGTGCTTAGATCGGGCCCAAAAAATTCGTTATGTCCGGGACCGGCCCGGCCCGTCCAATTACCTGTAATTATGGGCCCAAGCCCGATTTAAACCCGACATTATTCAATAAGTTGACTGTTACAAGTAACGCTAAGGACACACCGAGCGCGTTAGTGCCGCGCTTGACTGTCCACACAGGCAGCACATTTCACCTGCTCTCTCCGCGCCGGTTAAACATCGACTCCACTCGTCTGTTCCCGTCTGTTCCTCTCTCTCATATCTCATTTCATGTGGCTTAACAGTAAGATTTAGAAACACAAAACGTATGTTATAAATAAACTGCACTTTTTTCCAAGTTAGATGAATTGGTCAAAATTGTTTTACAGGTGTTGCAACTTGGAGCAAGTTCACTGAAAGGTACCGAGCAGAGTTTTGCAACATGTATTCCCTGGAAACGTGCAGAGAGTGCAACGAGACCTATAAAAACTGCATTCCAGGTAAGCAAAATGTTAATATGATAGCTATTTTTGTTATTACCTCCCAGAGATTGCAGTAGAGAACTGTTTCTTATCAAAAAATGAAGTTGTTGTAGGTAAGTGAGAATATACTGCTAAAACCCCATCAGTCCATTTCCATGGGCATCCATAATTTGCAGTAATAATTCATGCAATAGTAAAATAATAGAAATATGGAAACACTCGTAACCCTTCAAAACTGACATAAGCAAACATATTGTCATAATTATTAATTATGAGTAATGAGATTCAAGAGCCCCATCAAATAGAAAAAATGAAGTGGGGCCTCAAATAAGTACTGTTAATTAATAAATCCTTTATTTACCCACAGGCTACGCAGGAAAGGGGAAAAGAGGGGAGCTGCGGGGAATTTACTCAGATGATTCTCAACCGGGCTTTTGCTCAAAGTTTTGCCAAATGTGTGCAGGCATTCCTGAGTAAAGACTCTTTGATCGGTCAGTGACTATTTTTATCTCAATACAATTTTTAAAGCTCTCATATTCTTTGATTTTATTTTTTAGAAATGTTCATTTTAGTTACTTTGACAGAATGACTACAAGCTATCAGTTATATTCTCAACAAATACTTATCCTTCCTCTATTTCTTCCAGATTGAGTAAATGTGTTCATGACTAAATCAATAACTTTAGTTATCATTGACAAACATTCTACTTTTGTATCCAAATTGAGTGACATGTTCTGCTTTCCTTTTAGGAGTGACAGAGAAGTTCAGTCAGATGGTCATGTTTTGTTTTGCTTGAATAAATTGTTGAAATAAAAAAATGTTCTTTAGTCATTTATCTCTAGACATCTGTAGTAAGATGCAGCAGATGATTTATCAGTCTGTGGTGACAAGTGTGTTTTATGCTGCAGTCTGGTGAGGCAGCATCAGACACAAGGATGCAAGGCAGCTGGGTGAACTACTTGGTGGTAGAGGGATGTACACTGAAGATGTGAGAGGCCATTCAGAACAACCACCAGGATCATCCACTTGATAACATCTTGATGGATCAAAAAAAAAAACAGCAGTGGTGGACGTCTCCCCTTTCTTCACTGCAGGATGAAAAGATAATAATTGTACATTTTTTGCAGGGAAATGGCTTGGTCTGCATGGAGGCTGCACCCATATTATAATTTTTTGCCCGACCTACTGCTAACTATTGCTTCCATAATTTGATCAGAAGAGTCTGTTCATTGTTGCTAAATAATAGAACAACTTTTCCTTTGGTAATGATTTGCATTATTTGCTATCACTGACACTTGTTCACTCATTATGATATTCCATTAAATGGGTTGCATTTTTTTTTTTTTTAATCATTTATTCCACCTTATTTAACCAGCCAAAGTCAACTGAGAACCACTGTCCTTGATTACCTGGACAAGTCCCAAAATACACTCCACACAAACACACACAGTACACATACAGTACTGAAGGCTAGTATGATACATCAAGACATAGGACATGACATAGCACAGTATAGGTGAGAAAATAGGTCAGATATAATAATTAAAATTAAATAGTACAAAAGATGGTGGTGTACTGGATGTCCTCTATAGAAATGTAATTGTAGAGAGAGGGCTGGTCTGGAGGTAGGCCTACAGCAGGCTGGCAAAGCTAAGTTCTGTTAGTAACAATTTGAGTAAATAAAATAGTCAATATAAATACAACTAATATAAACAGAGAGGTTAATAGATTGAGGTTGGCTAAATAGTAGTAAAAAGTTTTCAAAGGTCTTTTCTTTCAGTCTGATATTATTAGACTGATGTAGGTCTACATCATTGGAAGATAAGTAAATTATATAATGTGATCTTTTACTGATTGTTTGTCTTATCTGTTGAATGATGTAGCCTGTATGATTGTGTGTAATTGATAAATAAAATTACAGTTAGTCACTCACTTCTCCACTCCTTAGCATTCTGCTAGACCATTCTTTTTACGGGTTTCCCTTACTAGTGTTATAAACGGTGACAAACATACTTTGCAATGTCTATTGAAAACAGTTTTCATGTTCATTGTGTTCACTGAATGTTTTTTAAATCAGCTTTCAGTCAGATAGTAGACAATACATTGTTGCCATGGTGGAATAATGTGTCCTCACATCAATAATCATTTCAAGTAATTCAACATTTCCATTTATCTTTAAACGTTCGTGTAGTAAATGTTTATGTAGTAGGGAAGAACATCATGAAATCCGACAGTCAGTTTGCGCTGTTTCGTCCGAGTTTCTGAAATCCCGACTTTCCCTGAACAAACCACAGTGACGTAGTGGATGTGGGCGGGGCTGGATGTGTAACGTACGTGACATGGGCGGGGCCTTCCCGCAGCTGTTAGTACTTGTCCGCATGAGATCGTGAGTAATCCTTTAACTTTTTCTGTCGAAAAATGGCATGACATGACTTGTCACCACTCATCGTGATTTTGGACTTTGTGTGTTTAGGCTGCTCTGGTGTGAAATCCATAAGAAATAAAAGAAAAACGATGCCGGATTCAGGAAGCCGAGAGCTTCCTGAATCCGGTGATACCAAACATCACACGGTTTGATGACGTAGTGCGCCTGTGAGATGCCATTTAACAGAGGAGGGAGGGAGCATGGACGCCGGCGTCCGAGGGGAGTTAAAGAGGTGAAATCCACCATTTCAGACTTACCTACACTACTCTATGTAAAGCGTCTTTAAGGACTTTGAGTACCGAAAAGCGGTATATAAGTGTGATGTATTATGTTATTGTGATTATTGCATTATGTAGCATGCTTATACTGCTAATGTTACTAAAATAATACTAGCCTATATGTTTTAATGACAGCTTGATATGATCACAGGGTCTACCTCTCTTGGCTATTGTCTCTCTGCATAAACTTTAATTTTACTCCTCTTTGTCCACATCCTGTTAGGCGTTCCTGATTTTACATCCATCTTACTACATTCTACTGAATCAACATTCAGTGGTCATAAGACACATTGGGAACTTGTATTAGTCAAAATGAATGGAAGTAGGTCAGAGACCAAAGGATAGTGACACAGTATGTTTGCATAGAGACTATCTGCATGCTTGCAGTGGATGTTGCAGCTTACACAACACATGAATCAGAGGTTGAGAGCTTTCTAGCCAAAAGAGGTATTAAATTCACCTCCTTTGTATAAAAGGTAGCAACTGAAGCTTTAAAAGTTTCAAAATCTGAACATCCATCCTCTAACCGCTTCATCCTCTTGAGGGTCGCGGGGGGGCTTGAGCCTATCCCAGCTGACATTGGGTGAGAGGCAGGGTACACCCTGGACAGGTCGCCAGACTATCACAGGGCTGACACATAGAGACAAACAACCATTCACACTCACATTCACACCTACGGACAATTTAGAGTCACCAATTAACCTAGTCCCCAATCTGTATGTCTTTGGACTGTGGGAGGAAGCCGGAGTGCCCGGAGAGAACCCATGCTGACACGGGGAGAACATGCAAACTCCGCACAGAAGGGCTCCCACACCCGGGATCGAACTGGGAACCCTCCTGCTGTGAGGCGACAGTGCTAACCACCACACCACCGTGCCGCCCAAAATCTGAACGTATAATAGCAATGGGAGGCTGAGTGCACCGTGTGCAAAGCTGGCACATATGATTCTATGTCTAATAAAGGTACCGGGGACCTCAAAGTTGGATTTTCTAATACAGAAGAGGTATTATTTAGAACATTATTTCATATTATTTATTTATTTGTCCAGTAAGACTTGAAAAGATAGCTATTATTTTACAAGTTGATTTTTCTAATACAGAAGAGACATTATTTCTATCATTATTTCATTCCAGAGATTTTACATTTATTTTACATTTATATTTATTTTTGTACAATTGAAACTTGTAAAAAGATTATTATTTTAGGCATAATAAAAGCAAGTTGAGTAACCTCTGAGAAGCCTATCTGAATTTCTGTCTTTGAGAGATATTATTTTGTAATATAACTGAATTTTCTATCCATACATAAACTTTAAATATATTAAAATTATAAGGCATCTTTGAGTAAACTGCGAGTATCATTTAAGTAGGCTATCTCATGGCCGGGGCGAGTGTCCTCTTTTTTGGAAATCAAAATATGGTCACCCTAACATATAAAAACCAAAACAATACATGGCTACTGTCAGTATAGGAGAGTGAGACTTAAAACTTGAAACTCACCATTTCCGTCTTATCCAGTCAACCTGTGTTTGGAAGTTTTTTAGAAGTTTGCTCATCTTTCTTGATTTCCTGTGACCCCTCCTCTCCTTGTCTGTACACCTCCTCTCTTCTTTCTTCTCATCTGTACCTTCCTGAGGACTGTCCATGCCCCCTCTCTGTCTATTATGGTAAACAAAGACAGTCATTATATGAAATGATAAGTATTTTATAACAATTAACTGTGGTGTCAAGTACCGATGCTTTATCATGTCACTCAGCATGTGGTATTGACGCCAATGGCACCCTTTAATGTCTCTATGGTAAGCACCAGGCTTTAACCTATGTGCAGTGTGACCGGTCCTTGGAAATACTTGATGCTGAGAGCAACTGATGTAGCATAAAGAGTGAGATAGTCCGTGAAGAGTGAAAAGGTGGGGAGTTGGCTGGGTCATACAAAACAGGACATTTACTCAGGAGAACAGCGTTCATGTCTTGTGTAAAACCAAAGGTCAGTGTTGTTCTAACATAGTGTTATGCAATTTATGTGCATTCGAGTGCCTATGTGAGTAATGTCACGTACTTACCCCACATTACATTATGTGTCACACATAGTTATTTTAACCAAAACATAATCTTTTCTAAACCTATCCAAGTAGCTTTGTTGCCTAAACCTAACCACAAGATTTATCAGGTGTTAGAATGTGTTTCAGCTGATTGTCACATAGACGCACTAAAGGGTGCCCTGTGCATCGCTGAGAGTGGGGGGGGGGGGGGGGGGGGAACACAACAAAACATTACAAACTGTAAAGTGTCACAATCGCTGTCAGACTTTCAGAGGCACACCAGGCTCTCTGACACTGAGGCCACAGGTCGCACAATGTTTTTCCCTCAGCTGATGCTGAAGCTGACGGAGGTCAGGATCCAGTGCTCCCTCTCTTATTTGATGCTAACACTACTGCTGTGTCTGGGTGTAGCCCATTCTTCCTCTTGATTACTGTCTTTACAGTCAGGTAGTCCTGTTTCATCCTCATCAATCTCGCTGTTGCCTTCCAAGTCTCACTGACTGGTTCTAATGTATATGACAAAGAAAAGTTTGGACCAGGAAAGATTTTTTTCCCCACACAAATGCATCACATCATGATCCTATGCAAGTGTAGGAGAGATAGTATAATGTAGTTATAGTAACAACGTAACCTTGTAAAATCTCTGCAGAAATCGTCACAGTCCCATGACAGCATGGAGACATTTTTTTGTCGCAGTATTGCAAAATACAATATACTGTTACATCCCTAGTTATCACTGGCTAGCTTGTATTATGACAAACAGTGCTGATATAGCCAACAGTGACACAGTCCAGATATATTCTATTACAGTAAGAATAAAAAATTGACAGTCGGGAAGATTTCTGTTGTGTTCACATGGAATCAGGTGGATGGTAGATGGCAAACAGAAAACACCTTCTGGACAGCCTGTGTAGGGTGCCAGGTGGCCCCCAGCCATGTTTTAATTCACAGTCAAAATACATAGATTCACATTTGTTGGGTTTTTTTGTTGTTTTTTTTGTGTACTTTTAATATATATTAAGATGCTTTCATACCACCGGGTGGCAACTGCCCTGTCAACCACCTACCTGCAAGTGCATTCCTCAAAAGAGCAACGTATTTTCAAAGCTGTTGCTACAGTCCAGGCCTGTGATGGCGGGTAGTTGCTGCTTTGATTAAAGTTGGAAGTGCGAGCTAGATGGCGCTGTGTAAATAATTGCATACTGGAGCAAGACAACACAAAACACTGAAATTATCAAAGATTTCTACATACTTATGGTACCAGAGTGCATATCAAAGCATTAAAATAGAGCTAAAGTGATCCCTTTGGACCCCTGACAGAGATCCAGGCTAAGACCCAAATGCCTTCAAATCCTAGAAACACCCCTGTATACATGCGCAGTAGAGATGCAAATCTTGCAGATATATCCGCGACATCTGCGGATGGGTGGGCCAATAAAAATTAACATTGTAATTCATTTCGGGTGGATTGCGGGTGGATTTGTCAGTTATATTCGTATTTAATAACCTTTATTTATATAAACAGGAGGGGACCATACACTCCGTAAAACAGGGCACAAGAGGACTTGACTTACTTCAAAGACTTTTATTACTGCAACAGAGCAAACAATATTAGGCTAGAGTAATTTTTACATTAGAAATGTAACCACATTCAAAAGTAGCCTATAATCTTTTAATTGTTTAAGTCAAGAAAATGTGCCTATATGAAAAGCGACTGAGCACGAATGGCTGGACATAATTTAAATGTTAATACAATAACTTAATGTTTGGCGAGGGTTAGGTGCGGGTGCGGGTCTCTAAATTTTAGAAGATAATAACGTCGGGTGGGTGGCGGGTGGATGATTGATGAGTGCACAAGGATTCGGGTGCGCTCAAACGCCATCCGCACATCTCTAATGTGCACGGTGGCTGACTGGCACCTAACCTCCTGTCATTTTGCAAATATGGCCCCAGGGCAAAGCAAGTTAAGTATCTCTGGTGTAAAAGAAACAGACAGGGGTCAGTCTTGGTGAATGATAGCAAACGCTACAGGCTCAAAACCTTGATTACTTGTGTGTGTAATAGTTAGCAATACTGTACAGGTTAACGTTACTTTTATATGTTACAGTATTTTACAGTATTTTTTTACAGTATTGCCTGCCACCCATGCCACCACAGCGGACACCAAGAATATAGAAGCAGATCAAGA